TATAATAAGGATCCTACTATGTAAGTACTATATTAGGGTCCCCTATTTTCGGAAACTCCCAAATCTTGGGGGAGTCCGGGCTTTGGTTTCCGGGTAGGCTTCGCCTCAGTTTCGGGTTTTGGGATTGAGAGTTGAGGGCTGAACCCACCCTGTCATGGTGGTATAACAGGAATATCATAGGGCCCTAATATAATCCTTTTAGTAGCCTTATAGTCACTATTACAGGGTGGGGGCAGCTTCTAAGGTTTAGGGTTTAGGGGTTTGTAGGCTGTAGGAATTCGAGTTCTGGGTTTCTTGGAGGGTGCAGGATCTAAGGTTTCCCGCCTGGGTCCAGCCAAACATCACAGCACCAAAAAGCCCAAAGCATGAAACCGTAATTCCTAACTCGCAGCACCCCTAAACAGAACCGCGAAGGCTGAGACAAAATGCAAGTCCCAAAACCTCGAACCTTGTATCCGAAACCCCATTCCAGTCACACACCAAAGCCCCCCAAACCCCAGACCTTGTTGCAAAAGCCGACACAAATCATTAAGTCACCCTGTAAATGGTTTCTGACCCCACACCCTAGACTTTAAACCCACGTAGATCCCTTCTAGATGCATTCAATAAAGGAACTCTTAAAGGAGCCCTAGGCGCCCCAAAATCCTTGAGCCCTGGAAGCGCGCAAGCGCAGGTCTTTCAGCACTCCTCGGCAGAGGAAGGCCAGGCCATGAAGGGAGTCTGAGGGCGGTGGAACGGTTTCGGCTTTGAGTCGGGATTGGACGCGGTTTCACGGGCTGTACACACATGCTCATGCCAGAACGAGTTCGGATTTGAGTGGTGCATGGTTTTGCGCCGTGCCCAAACCCCCACTCGAAACCATGGACCCCGAGTCCAAAACCATCCGACACCTATAGATACAACCTTGACAGGGAGCTTCTAGGAATCCTGGAATTAGGTGCTTTTGGATGTGAGTGTAAGGTTGACGTGCTTGGGCTTGAGATTAAATGGTGCCGAAAGGGATTCTATAAGTACCCTAAACGGCCCTCAAATTGAAACCCTAAACACCAAACCGGAAGCGACCAAACTTGCTTCACAAATCCTTACAACACGCTTTACCCACCTTTACAAAGTTATCATAGAACATACTCCGACGACCTCTTTCTCACTCTTCAGGTCCCTTGATAAGACCCATATGAAACACATAAAAGACTCTGCAAAACCCTTTTTGCCCTAAGCCCTAAACTTTGAACGACCCTTAAACCGTAAACCCTAAACCCTTGAACCATACACCCGAAACCCTTGAACCCTAAAGCCTAAACCCTAAACCCTTAAACCCTAAACCCTTGAATCCTAAAACCCAAACCCCGAAACCCTTAAACCCTAAAAACCTTGAACCCTACATCCTAAACCCTAAACCCTTAAACCCTAAACCCTTGAACCTCTAAACCCTTGAACCCTTGAACCCCTAAACCCCTAACCCTAAACCCCTAAACCCTAAACCCCTAAACCTTAAATCCTAAACCCTTAAACCCTAAACCCTTGAACCTCTAAACCCTTGAACCCTTGAACCCTTGAACCCCTACACCCCTAAACCCTAAACCCCTAAACCCCTAAACCCTAAACCCTTAACCCCGAACCCTTGAACCCTTAAACCCTTAAAGCGTATAGAACCCTTATGGGTCCCTTTAAAGGAACCCCTATAGATCCCTTTAAACCCGCCCAGAAGCCAGCAGGCGACGTGGCCGTGGCGACGGAGAGTGGGGCGCTCGCTTGGACAGCCAGAGACGAGCTTCTGCCAGGCATCGGTGGACGAGTTCTTAAGGTCTTAGGACCCAAAAGGAGTTTAGGGGTTTATAGGGGTTTACAGGGTTTATAGGGCTCTAAGGACTCATATTTTAAGGTTTTTGGGTCCAAAGACCATGCTACCTAAGGCTTTTGGGCCAGTTTGAGCCTTAGGGTTAAGGTCTTAGGAAGTTTTAGGGGGGAATCCAGGTCTAGCAGAGTTTACTTAGGGTTCAGCGGTTACGCGCTTTTGGGTTTGGGGTTTCAAGTCTTCGGATTTCGGGATATGCGCGTTTCAGGATTCGAAGGTGCTGGGGGTTTCAGGAGTGTTGTCAGCGTTTCGGCCTCTGGCGGACTCTGCGGCTTGAGGGCTTCAGGGTTTGGGTTTAACGACTCTTGGTCTGAACTCGCATTTGGTAGAATTTTTCCCGGCTCTTCGGCCGTTTGCGGCCCTGCCCTCTGTAGAAATATGTTGGTTTTTGAAGATAAGCTAACCGTCAGCTCTGGATTCATGTGATTTGTTTTCTTTGGGGGCTGAAACACCCTTACTAAACCGCTTACTGGCGGTGGCCGCCCGAAACCTGCTGCCTGGACTCTAGACTTTGATTGCGCTGCAATCCTCCAAGCACAACTGCGTCTGTGAGGGCTCTATCAGCGTTCCACGCGGGTTTTTTGCAGAAGGGATACTTCAGCCATGGTATACTGGGGCTTGGGGCCAGGGGTTTGGACATTGGGCCCAATCATATTCCCTTCGAACTCAGAAACAAGCCTCCAACACACCAAGATTCAGGATTTGTTGATGAATCCAGGGCGACTTTTGGGGGGCCTCGGGAGCTGCTTCCTTTCAAAAGGTGTCCTGTGCTTCCGAAATGCTTCGATGCCTTCGATTCGCCCATGAGACAGTTTTCACTTGTTGACAGTCGCCTCAAATTTACCTTTAAACTTAAAGCCCTGTCTTCGAGCGACCATGTCTTTGCACAAGGCACTGTCGTAGGCCGCTCGGCTCATTAGAGCAGGGGTTCTGGTGTCTTTGAGGGTCCTGTCGGGATCTTTGAGGGATCCAGGGATGGGTTCTAGAGCGTTTGGAGAGTGTTCCGGAGTATGTCAAAGTATACCCTAAGGGTCCAAGTGCCCAAATACCAGGGTTTCAGGGTCCCCAAAACCATTGAGAGTATGGATTTTAGGACCTAGCACCTTACTATTTGGGTACTTGGACCCTCTGGTATAGTTATATTGGGACTACAGCCGCTCCGACGAGGGTGACCGTGGAGGTTTAATCTAGGTTGCGTTGTAGGGAACCTGATATGATGATGTCAGTACTAATGATTCTAACCAACAGTCCCGTCTTTGGGGATGAGCCAGTCTCGAATTTCATACAGAACCTCATACTCGTGGTATTTACAGTATATTAGGCCCCCCCCCCAAAAAAAAAAAAATCATATTCCAAGTCATACACCCCCGGTATTGCTACTTGTTTCGGTCTTGCGTTGCATGGTTCGGTTCCCAAAACCCTATTCCCTACACCCTTAAGGGTTGGCTTTCCTTACGAGTCGGGGCGTGACATTTCGGGGCCGGGTTGAGGGTCCAAGGTTTGGGTTTATGGTTCAGGGTTTAAAACTCTATATCCAACTGTGTAGGATAGCACCCCCCCGCAACGTGAGGAACATTACGATCGTAATCTAATGCGTAGTAGTAGTAGTAGTAGTAGTAGTAGTAGTAGTAGTAGTAGTAGTAGTAGTAGTAGTAGTAGTAGTAGTAGTAGTAGTAGTAGTAGTAGTAGTAGTAGTAGTAGTAGTAGTAGTAGTAGTAGTGGTAGTAGTAGTAGTAGTAGTAGTAGTAGTAGTAGTAGTAGTAGTAGTAGTAGTAGTAGTACGGACTAATGGCTATATACCCTCAACCCTCAAACCGTAGTTCCAAGTAAGAAATAGCCGTATCAGCACGCAGCATGTAGTCGTGTTGCCAACCGCTCATCGGGAGGTTCAGCACAGGCCCTATCTGGGTGGGCGCGCATTTCTTATGATGACAACTAAAAGTAGGAAAACCCTCTTCGAGGTTGTTTGTCAGTAAACCCTAAGCCAAGCCTTAGACCCATGAAACCCTGACGCAGGTAGACCCCTAAACCCAGCCCTAAATCCTAAACCCTGAACTCTAAACCCTGAATCCTAAACCCTCAACCCTCAACCCCAAAACCCCAAACGCCAAACCCCAAACCCCAAACCCAAAGCCCTAAACCCTGAACCCTGAACCATAAACCCTAAGCCCTATATAAGCCCTAAACCCTAAGCCCGCAAAATCAGGACAGGGCCGCTACGTCCTTGCGGAGCGTCTCTGTGAGGTCAGAGTGGTTAGGGCTCAGGGATTTTTGTTTTAAGGTTTGGGGCTTAGGCTTTAGGATTTAGGGTTTGGGGTTTAGGGTTCAGGATTTAGGGTTTAGGGTTAGGGCAGTTTAGGGTTTAGGATTTAGCGTTTAGGGTTCAGGGTTTAGGGATCAGGTTGTTTAGGTGATGTTGGTTCTGGGTTTAGGGTTGGCTGAATTTTATCTTGTCTTGTATAGGGGCCTTTACAAATTAGAATACGGTTTTGTGGCATCTCATACCATAACTATTGTAAAGAATCCCGCAAAGAATCCCGCAATAGTAACATTGGTAAATGCTTAGGCCCCCATGTTTTAGCTTGCCTAACCAACCCTAAGCCCTTAGCGCTGGGGCTACCCCTGGTACCCGAGAACCATGTGCGGTGCCCAAATGGGAGTTTCCCAAAATGAGGGACCTTAATATGGCACCCTACATAGTAGGATCCCTATTGTAAGGACCCCCAAATAAGGACCCCTAATTCACAGGAAACTCATATGAGACATTCAGCAGTGACCTGACACAAACTCTTTGCCTTCAAACTCTGAGCCTCAAATCGCAAAGCCACCCACAAATTCCCAAGCCCTGCACCTCGGTCGAAAGGTTTAGGGTTTAGGGGTTTAGGGTTTAGGGTCTAGGGTTTTTGGGGTGTTGAGGTGCACCTTAAGCTGAAACTGGAAGTCTGGGCCACAGCCCCCTCAGAGCCCTTCACCTGCTTCCTGTCGGGCCCTACGTAACCCCTAAACCCCTAAAGCCTAAACCCTAAACCCCTACACCCTTGAACCCTGAACCCTAAACTCCACTCCCTAAACCCCAAACCGCCCTATAGCCTAAACGCCGGAACCCTTAACCCTTCACCTTAAGGCTTAAGCCTTGAACGCTGACATGCTACTTCGTGGCTTCTCCACGCGTGCCCATGGCAGTCGTCCTGCAGCAGAGATCCTCCAGCTCTCTGTCTTGGCGTTTGGGGTTCAGGATGTGGGGTTTAGGGGTTCACAGGGTTCAGGGTTTCGGGCATAAGTTTAGGGTTTGCGTGTTAGGGTAAGACCTTGTCCGTAAATAGAGCTGATTCTCTTGTTGGACTAAACTTGTTTCATTCACTCAGGACCTAAACCCTAAATCCTGATCACGGTACATACTGGTTTTGCCCGTCAGCCTTTTCAAGAAGAGCTTCTTGGTTCACTCCGGGGTTCTATGGTCGCCAAATCTTATGTGTTTCGGGCTTAGGGTGCTCAGTATTCGGTTGCATGCCTTGAGACACTTCCAGGGCCTGTCGACGTTTAGGGTTTAGGGGTTGAGGGTTCAGGATTTGGGGTTCAGGGTTTTAGGGTTCAGGGTTTACGGGTTTTAGGGGGGGTTAGGGTGAAGGGTTTCGTCCGCGGAGTGCTGAGGAGTTTGACTTCGCGAGGGCTCCCACATCAGTGTTTCACGTTGGCCTAAGTTCGCCTAGGGATACGTAGAAACTTATAATATAATATACAATAAGATATGTGTGTATATATATATATACACATACACATATGCATGTACGTACAGGTAGGTATGTATGTATGAATGTACGTATACGTACGTAATCAATATATACATATATTCTGTCTTATTGTGTCTAAACATTTCTTTATGCATGTGACAGCTCCAAGGGCCTAAATATTCGTGCTGGGCCGACGGTTTGCGCTCAAACGCCACATCACACAAGGTATTTTTGTTGCAGTTGTTGTGATCCGGACCTGGGGGAACTCTTCCCAGCAATTATAAGTTCACATTTGACAGATTGCTGCTGGTTCGTAATCCCCGATCCCGAAACCCTAAACTGAGCGCCTTGAGCCATACACCAAGGCTTCACCACGCCTCCCTTTTCTACGGCCCCCCCATACCGAAAGGCTAAACATAGTAACTCCTTTGGGCTCCGTAATGTGAGCTACCCCTCAAACGCTATTTAATCATGGAGGTCCCTGCCGTGGATCAGCATACATCAGCATCGATCTCTTGTTCCCAAAGCCCTAAATCCAAAAGCCCACTCCCTCCCACCGCGACAAACTTCCACCCACAGCTGAGGCTTATGAGGCATCTTGACGGCAACTCGCCGACAAAGCAGGTCGCTTGACTACTCGGGCTTGGGGCTAAAGGATTCGGTACAGAGCCCCTACAGGCTGTCTTGCCGCTGCCGGTGTTCAAATTGGGGCGAAGCACTGGGCAACCCCTCAACTCTAGTAGAGCTTGGTGTGGCTGCTGAGTGGGTTCACAAGCGACGCGAGCATGCGGCTCGGGGCATTTCACTCTGGACACACCCTGCACCCCAACCCTAAACCCCTAAACCCGAAATCCCAAACCCCCAAACCCAAATGGGGTTTCCGAAAATAGGGGACCCTAATATAGTACCCAAAATAGTAGGATCCTTCTTATAAGGACCCCCAAATATGGTACCCCAAATTTTCGGAACCTCCCAAATGCTGAACCCCGCAACCGCAAGGTCGAGGTTGCTCTGACCTCCAAGCTGCCAGAGCTTCGCCGGGCGCCGCAGTCCATCACCCCAGCCTTCAAAGAGCTGAAGAAGGCCTGCTGCAATCGCTTATGAGGTTCTTGGGATTAGGAATGTCTGGGGTTCTTGGATTCTGCGAGATGGCTGTAACTTTTGATGATAAAATCCTGCACTACCTTTATATTCCTTATTATGGACAATGCAGGGTTTATATCATCAACCGAAGGACTTTGGGATCAAGGATCATGGGATCTGGGGGTTCAGGGATCCTGGGGCGCAGCTTTTCGGAGCTGAAGAAGGCCCCAGCGGCCCATGGGGGCTCTGTCAGGGGGTATCACGGTGTGTCTGCGGGTCATGAGAGCGTAACACAAGCTTCATCAACCCTAAACCCCTAAACCCTAAACTCTTGAAAACTGCTCGACCAGCAGCGCCTCTCTTGCCTCTTTCCGGTTTTTGGAGGAGGTGTTCCCGGTTCGCGGGTTGAAGAACAAAACATGGTCTTGGGGGGGCTCTTGGGTCTTCATATCGGGTCCTGAAAGGGCTCCAGCTGCCTGATTTTTTTGCCGGTATTCCTCCAGAGATCAAGTCGCCGGATGTAAGTTTCTACCTGAAAGGGGTCTGAGGGTTTCGCTTGGGGTTTCGACGTCTGAATCCAGAAGCTGTTCTGGCCGGGACCTGTCTGCGGGAATTTAGGGTTCAGGCTGTAGAGGTTGAGGAGGGTTTAAGGGACCTGAAATCGTAGCCACAGCTGTTTACACATGTGGTGGATCTGTTTCCTACGGTTGATGATATAAATCCTGCATCACCTTAAGGATCCTAAACTATGGGAATTATGGTGGATTCCTTATTATGCGTAATGCAGGATGTATGATGTATATCATTAACCCTTCTATTCCCTTCGGCTGGTGTACTCTCCGAGCCAACTTATTGCTTACTGCCCCCACCTCAACACGGCCGTTGCTGCAGTTCATGTTGTTTTCATGTTAGCTTAGGGCTACTTTCCTACGCCATAAACTCTAAACCGGTACAGATCCTAAAGTCTGCTCCCCGACCCCTCTCCCAAAGCCTTTAAGAAGCTTCACCATCCAGGCTGGTCATGGGGCGCTGGCTTTCCAGATCCTCCAGGTCCTCGTTGCAGACGGCCAGGCGCGCTGGGCGGGGTAGAGGGAGTGCCGGACCCTGAAACCAAAACCCCAAATCCTAAACCCCAAACCTGACATCCGACACTACACCCCCCCCAAAAAAGCTTCAAAACCTAAATCCTAAGCTGAAGTTGGGTGCTTTAGCTTGGTGTTAAGGGCCACGCAAACTTAGAAAGTCTGAATGTGCATTCCAAAGGGTCTCCAACATATGGGAGTTTCCGAAAGTTAGAGGTATCGTATTTGGGGTCCTTGTAATAAGGATCCTATTATTTAGGGTACGTTCTTGGGGTCCCCTATTTTTGCAAGCTCCCATATCAAAACCTTTCAAACAACAACTCTAAACCCTAAACCCACGCCCCAACGTCCCGGCTGGAGGTGAGGATCGGTCTGCCCCACTTTTCTGCTGCCATCGGTGCATGCGCCGAGGCAACAAGGGGATCAACACAGAAAGAGAACCTTTTCCAAGTTTTGAGGCTAGGATGCCCAGTAGTACCCTTATTCCCTTTTTGTAGTCCTAGGTTCCTTATAAAGTTACCCAATACCAAAAAGAGAGGCCTTTTTATTCTTAGGTTACTGGGTATCCTAGGAAGTTTGTATCAACCGGGTTGGAGTTTGGAGTTGAGGGGTTTGGGGGGTATGTGGGGTGGAGGGGTCCAGGGTCGAGGTGATCCGGAGTGAAACTCGGAGCTTGATCAGGATTGCCCATGGAGTTCATGGTGGGGCGGGGTGTTTCAGATGTGCAACATCGGAAGGAAGCTAGCAGTATGGTTGATCTTGGATTTGACGGGCTTTTAGAACGTCGAGAAGCTTTAGGTGCTCGTACTCACGGTATGGGATGTCGAGATTTCTCGACAGGCGCGGCGATGGCAGCATTCCCTGTGGCCTGGAGAAATTGACATCAGCAATTCTTTGCAAATCTTGTATTTTCATTCAGGTTGGGGTCTTTGTCAGGTTTCAGGGTTTTCTTCTCATTGGTTAAGAGTTTAGGCTGCTTGGATGCCAAAGACCCAAGTTCGGGCCCACCCACTGGTCCTCATAAACCAACAGTCTAAACCTTCGGGCTTAGGGCTTTGGGTTTCGGGCTAAAGCCTCTATACCCCAGTATATAGACCCATCTGTATCAGTGAACGCATGAAGGGGCGCGCTAGAAATTGAGCCTAATAACTTTCTTAGTGCAATTTTCCGTAGCTTGATTTGACAAGCTTGGCTTGCGCTTGCTGTCTTGTTCTGTTCTTCAAGCTTCAACAGGCAGGGTGGTTTTTGGCGGTTCAGGCTCAGGACACGTGCTTGTTCCAAGAGGCCGTGTGCATGCCTGGAAGCGTATGCTCACAGGTAGAGTTTATTCAGGCTCGTGAGCGGTAGGGTTTCGAAGCTTCTCACGCCTTGCAGCTTTCCCTGGGAAGTAATTTTACTATCAGGGATACCATAAGGGTTAATGTAATGGGAAGTATACGGGTTGCTATACATGGACACTTTGCGGGTTTTTTCATCATCCGAAAGGTTGCATCGTAGCGGCATTTCGGCTCTTCATGTTGCTGGGCCTTCGTGTCTTGCAGAAGTCATGGCATGGGACCCAGGTGATCAAGTTGGGCTGGTCGGCGATGGGGAGGTGCCCTAGGCTGTTGTTCAGGAGCTTGATTTTAATACATGGTGTATACTATGCTTTTCCTTAGTATGATCACTTACATTGCGTCCAGTTCCTAGGCAAGAACTAAGGTGCAGGTGGTGGTTCGGGACCTGACAGGAAAGACCTTGGTCCAATGCCACACACGCGGCAGCGCTTCTTTGCACGAACTCGCCCGGAAAGCCAAAGAAGCCAAACCTGAGTGGAAGCATCGTGGCATCAGGCTTGTTTGCGATGGCATGGTCGTAGCATGCGACACCAAGATCCACGTACTGCCTGTCATGGAAAACCTGGTCAGCCTTACGGCCATTGCAGAAGAACGCCCTTCCGCGGAGGAGGTGCTGCATGAGTGCCAAGCGATGTTCTTGATGCTGGTGGGGGAGGATGCCCACAGCCTGGACGAGCACATTGAAGACTTGGGTGTCGACAGCCTGCAATCCATCGACCTTAAACAATCCTTGGAAAAGCACTTCGATGTTGGCATGTCGGCAACGGCAGTCTTCGATTACCCCACTATCCGGGAGATTTCCGAACACGTCTACGAGCGCATTCAGGACAAAGACAGCTGAGAGGCAAGCAATGGCGATTGCAGTGTTAGCATCGCAGGTAGTTACCTATCTATCAGTCCGAATTGTATAGGTTTTGGGACTCGTCCCACCTCTGGGATGAACTTGATATGCAGTTTCTTGAACTTGGGATTGAGTGGCAGAGCTCGCCGAAAAACCTGCAGGAGTGAGATGGTCTAGAATCAGGCGCATGTAGGGGCCCAAATAATTAGCAATTCTATTTTGGGGGTTCCCTATTATAAGTATAGTATAGAATACTCCAAAACCCTAGTCTAATTTATTAAGGCCCCCTCTTTTAGAGGCCTCAGAAGGGTTCGGTGCAAGCTGGCAACGACACTTCCAAAGCCCTGTGCTTCTACCCCTTGGGGTTTTCTTGCTTCATATAAATGCAATTCACGCTTTTCGCCCACATATCCCCACATTAGGCACCCCAATCCCTGAACACGAATCCGTAAACCTGAAGCTCTGATTCGGGCATTAGTCTCGCTAAAGCCCTCCACAGAAGAGCGCGCAAGACATGTTTGGGATTACTTTAGGGCCTTAAAATAATAAGAATAGGGTTTTGGGGCCCATTATAATATAGATATAAGGAACCACCAAAATAGTATAGGTAATTAGTAAGGCCCGTGTATTGCGCTGCTCTGCTACGGGGGTTCGGCTTGTAGGACTAAAGCTGTCAGGGTTTAGGGTCTAGGGAGTAGGGTTCAGGGTTCAGGGTTTAGGGATTACTTGGACTCTATAACACCTTTGTGATTTCCTGATACAAGTCCTATCAACAATAGGCAAAACCCTAAACCCTAAGCCCTAAACCTATATAGGTTAAGGGAGGGATTTCGGCTCAGGGTTAAAGCCCTGAAGCTCCAAACCAACAAGAAGCAGAACCACGCGAGTCTGCAGAATCCGCCTGAGGAGCATTGCTGAATGAGGCTCAACAGAAGACATAGCAAGCCTTAAGCGGGTCCCTACACTAGGGCTTGTCAGGGCATCAACGCTTAACCCTAATCCTTAAACCCTGAGCCCTAAACCCTAAACCCGAATCCTAAACCTTAAAATCTCCGTCTAAGCCACAAGCCGTAAACCTCAAAGCGTGAGCCTGAGCCCCAAACCGTAAAAATCTTAAGCTGCAAGGGTTTAGGGTTTAGGGCTACCCTAAACCCTAAACCCGGAACCTTAAACCGGAACCCTAAACCCTAACCTTAGGGCATCGGGGTTTCGAGTGAGCTCAGGTCACTGTTTAGTTCCATCCCGGACGCTCGACTGTCACTTGGTGAGCAGCACTGGCAATTCGAAGGAATCCAAGTTTACTATTTAGGGCTTAGGGCTCAGAGGTCACTGATTAGAGGTTAGGCTTTAGAGATTAAGGGTCAGGGCTCAGGGGAAAGTAGTAGTACATAGGTGCCATGTGCCTGAGTTGGGATTGCAAGCACTTGTGTTGTATAACAAAAGCTGCCTTCAGCAGAGAGACAGGAGAGCTCAGGCAAGGACGGGACGCCAAATTTCGGGTCGAGGGGCCGTGGCAATCAAGGCTCATTGCGGCCGAAGCTACAAACTCTAACAGGTTTCCCTAGACTCTAAACCTTTTGTGGTTTAGGTTTGGGGTTGAAGTCTGAGTCAGGATGAAGAACAGAAAGGTTCAGCCGGTAGTCAGGTGTGAAACCACGAGAACTGTGGGTTTTCGCCCGTTCCCAAACACGGTCAGAAAGGTGTCCTGATGTGATCAGCTACAGTGCTGCCATCAGTGCCTGTGAGAAGGCACGAGCTTTTGAAGCTGAGACTATGGTTTATGTTGTCGGGCTCAGGGTGCAAGCATGCAGCCATGAAGCCTGAACGTGAGCAGGCCGGACAGTGGCAGGGTGCCTTGCAGCTTTTTAACGATATCTCCCATGCGAAGCTCCCGCCGTATGTGATAGGCTACAACGCCACGATCAGCGCTTGTGAGAAGGGCAGACAGTGGCAGCTGGCTTTATCTCTGTTTGGGTCCATAGCTGGGGCGGGCCTGGTACCAGATCTCATCAGCCATAATGCTGCCATCAGCGCCTGTGAGAAGGCAGGGAAGTGGCAGGTGGCCCTGCACCTCTTTGCTTTCATTTCTCAGAGCAGCCAGAGCCCCGACGTGATCAGCTACAGTGCTGCTATCAGCGCATGTGAGAAGAGCAGTGCTTGGCAAATGGCTCTGCAGATGTTCGCTTCCATGTCACAGGCTGGCCTCAAGCCCAATGTCATCAGCTACAATGCCACGATCAGCTCCTGTGAGAAGGGCGGGAAGTGGCCTCTGGCTTTGCAACTCTTCGGTTCCATGCCCTCGGCAAAGCTCGTGCCGAACGTCGTCAGCTACAACGCCACGATCAGCTCCTGCGAGAAGGGCAGCCAATGGGAGCTGGCTGTGCACCTCTTCGACGGCCTCTTACAGAATGGCCTCACTCCCCAAATCATCAGCTACAGTGCCGCCATCAGCTGCTGCGAGAAGGCGGGGCAGTGGCTACCAGCCCTTCAGCTTTTTAACTCGATCCTCAGAGCCAACCTCAGCCCGGATCTCATCAGCTACAGCACCTTAGTAGCTGAGTGGATACGCTTTACACTTTTTGGGATACTACTACCCACTATAAAGCTGAAAGTGTACACTTTTTTGGGGGCTGCTGAACTCAGCAACTAAGGCACCACCATCAGCTCCTGTACCAAGGGCTCCCAGTGGCTCGGCTTCAGCAAAGAGCTCAAGCCACCGAGTCCTACACCAAAAGCTCCAAAAAGAGCTGACCAATCAGGGGTAGCTGATTTTGGGGTCCTCATAATAAGGATCCTACTATTTAGGGTATTATATTACTGTCCCCTATTTTCCGATGAAACAGCGGAATGAGCGCTCTCTAACGAAGCTTCCGACATCTGTGTTCACCCCAAACTCAACCAACCTAAGCGTCCCGAACCCTCAGCCACCCAAAACGTGAACTCCCCTAAACCCTGAACACCAAATCCTAAGCCGGAAACCCTAAACCCTAAAACCTTGAAGCCTCACACCCTTGGAGACCCACAGCCTTGAAACCCTAAACCTCAAAGGTGGCTTGTGGCTTTTCATCTCTTCCAATCTATGCAAGGCCAGCCCCGTCTCGTCTACAGTAAGGTTCGTCTTTTTGAGACATCAATGCGGCGATGAAAGGGATGTAGAGTTTTATGTAATTTTTTGAGTCTGTCCGGCATAGACTCCAGGAAGGTTCACAGCAATGGGTCCTCGAGTTTGGAGTTTAGGGTTAAGTGCAAAGGGCTCAAGAGCTTAAGGCTTCGGCTTTGGAGTTTTGCATCTCGGGTTTACGGAGTTTAGGGGTTCCCGTCGCCTGAAGGTATTCACAACCTGGCTCCCGATGTCATCAGCTACAACGCCGTCCTCAGCTCCTGTGAGAAGGGGACACAGTGGGAGGCTGCGGTGGGCCTCTTCGACGCCATGCGCCAAGCCCAGGCATGTGAGGGTCTCTCAGTCTAAACACGCCGGGTTTCCCCCTTTAGGGTTCTTCTTACGAAACCTCATTTATGCTGGTATGGTGGTAATGGGTAAAGAATATGCGTCCTTGTTGCTATTATTATCAAGTTAGGCCATCGTATCTTAAATTAGGTTCATATCTGACGACCCAGTTTTGGACAGTTTTGGGCCGTGCTGCAAGGATCCGATTCATTCGGGTTGAGGGTTGAGCAATTGGAGTTGCAATATGGGGCTCAGCTTGTTTTGAGTCAGTAATACAGGATGCCGCTGAGGCGTTTGGACTCATCCCAGGCTTGTCTGTGTGGTAAAACCAGCGCCTGAGCCCTGAATTCCCCTTTCTGCCCGCATCGTTCTCTCGACCCTTTTTCTTAGGGGTACTTAGAGTTAAGTTATCATTTTTGGTTATTGTAATCCCTAAGAAGCAGCTAAAAGTACATTTTTTGCTGGGGCTCTAAGTTCAGTATAGCTTAGACTACCAAACCCTACTTTTTTGTAGGTTCCTATTCTAAACCCTAATATGGAATTTATAGGGCCCCTACATAAAGGTAGTTTGGAGATTTCCAGAATTTGCAGGAGCTACGCTCTGAACCCTGCGCCGATAGACGTCTCCAACCCTAAACCCGAACCCAGGCCCAAATGCCCCAAAAAGGCGCTAAAACCGAAGCTTCAATGTGTTCCATGTGCCTCTCAAGGATTTCGGTGGTTCTTGGGCTTTGTTTTTTTTTAATTTTGCAGCTGAACTTCCAGGCTAGATATGTGTTCGTAAGAAATTGCTTATATAGAGGGGGTAGACGCCAGGCCCCCGTACACCCTGCATCCGTATACACCCCAAGCATGTGCTCCTTAAGCCTTTAAGCCCGCCTTACGCACTGAAAGCCCTTTGCACTCGGAAACCCACCTAAACCCCTAAACCCTAAACCCTAAACCCTAAACCTAAAACCCTAAACCCTAGACCCTGCTACATTTCAATGCTCGGGGGTTTAGGGTTGAGGCGCCGCTCTGACTTGCCTATAGGGGCTCCAGCAAACCTCATGTGTAACCAAGGGTCCTACATGCTTTAGGGCCAGGCCAGAGAATCCAAGTTAGTGCAGTTTAGGGTTTAGGGGTTTTGGGGGTTTTAGGGGTTTTAGGGGTTTTAGGGGTTTTAGGGGTTTTAGGGGTTTAGGCTTTATGGTTTAGGGTTTTGGGGTTTAGGGTTTAGGGGTTTAGGGTGAAGGGTTTTAGGGTTTAGGGGTTTAGCGTTTAGGGTTGAGCCCTGCCTTTGTTAGGTGAGCCCGGACATCATCAGCTACACCGAAACCATCAGCGCCTGTGAGAAGGGCCGACAATGGCCCTTGGCGATGGCGTTGTTTAAGTCGATGAATGAAGCGAGCCTCTGCTGAGCCCAGAGACTCCAATATCCCTTAATCAAGGAGTACACCTTAACAAATTCTAGTCGGATCCCCAACATGATTTGAGGTACATTCCGTAGTTAAGGGATATTATAGCCTCTGCTGAAGAGGGTTCAGGATTCAGGACTTCAGGGTTTCAGGCCTCTTTCGGATCCCTTTTCAGGTTTCGATGAGGGCGTGTGAGGGATTGATCATAAGCTTTGTCATAGAAGTTGGTGTTTCAGGCCTCAAGGTTTGGTCATGGTTGGGGTGTTGAGTTGAGGGGTCTAAGAGCCTCAGGGAGCCTCAGGGGTCTGAGAGCTTCAGGGGTCTAAGAGCCAGTCTTACTGTCTCTTATTGGGACGAGTGTTAGTTTTCATTTTCCGCTTGAGGGCTTGTTTGGGGCGTGGGGTTCAGGGTTGTGAGCTTTTGCACTTTTCAAACTCGCGGTGCACCGACAAACTGCAACCCGAAGCAACCTGCAAGATCCATGGCGCTCTACAGGCATACAGCCGACAGGGCCCTTAGTAGCTGAGTGGATACACTTTACACTTTTTGGGATACTATTTCCCACTATAAAACACTCAGCAACGAAGGGCCAAACAGCATATGTGCAAGATGTGGCAGAAGCATGGAGTAGCATCTGAAGAACTTGTGCAGAGCTCCTTGGAGCAACAACCCGGCCGCAAAACCCTACTTGGAGGATCATGGAACTTAGTAAGTAAGGTTATAAGGACCTTCATGGGGGTTATAAGTGGTTACAAGTATAGTTACCCTAATTATAACCCTAGTTACTAAGTCCCATGATCCTTTAAGTAGGTCATGAAGCCAGGATCCATAAGTCTACAGGTCCTCATAATGTAAAAGCCAGAAAGTTGGAATATGATTATCCTAAACCCTTTATGGTAAATTATAGGGTATCCTACCATGAAGCCATATTCCAATTTTCTGGAGTTCCCTGTAGACCATGAGCCTCGAACTTCTTGACACACAAAGCTTCAGGCATTTTGACCACAAGTCTCAAACTTCCCAGAGGTCCCAATACCCCTCAATTAAGGAGTATACCTGACATTATAGTAGGACCCCTGATATGACGTAAGGTATATTCCTTAATTAAGGGGTATTGGGTTCTCTGGGTTCTAGCCTCCCCAACTCTACTTAAACGATCAAGGGACCTAGTAACTAGGGTTATAATTAGGGTAACTATACTTATAACCACTTATAACCCCCATTAAGGTACTTATAACCGCACCTACTAAGTCCAGGATCCTCCAAGTAGGCTCTCTAACCTTAATTCCTAATCCCTAAAACCTAAACCCTAAACCATAAGAACTTCTAACCTCCCCAACTCTAGGCTCCCCCAACCCACAAACTCTGAAGCTTCAAGCCTTGAGCCGCCAGCCCCCCAGACCTCCAACCCAGACCCGCGGGACTGTCGATGGACAAAATCCTAGGGTTCCCTTAACGGGATCTATTAGGGTACCTTTAAGGGGCTCCTTTAAGGGATCTGTAGGGGTTTTAGGGTTTAGGGATATAAATCCTGCATTACCCATTATAAGGAATATACCATAGTTCCCATATAGTTCGGAGTCCTTAGGGTCATGCAGGATTTGGTCCATCAACAGGAGGATCCAAAAAGCAGATCCCTTAATGGGGGTTCCTATAAAGTACCCTTAGTAGTATAGGGCCCCAACTTAGGGGACCTTTCTAGATCCTCCCGCGGGTCTGGGAATCGTTAAACCGTTAAACCGTCAGAAACCTCAGACCTCGCCGAAGCCTCTGAACACCATTCTTACTCCCGCGGACCTGTTTGGCACCTGACACCCTACAGTAATCCCCATAAAGTTGGAAACGGGATTAAGGCCAAATAGTGCCGGGATTCCCTATACTTTACTCTTAAGGATTGAGACTATAACATTTCCAACTTTTGGGCTTCTACTGTAAGCCCGAAGCCCCAAACCTCTGAACCAAAGCCTTGAACCCCCAATCCGCCAAGGTACCTTACTTGGAGGTTCATGGGTAGTTATAAGTGGAGTTATAAGTAGGGGTCCCTTTAAGGGATCTATAGGGATTCTATGAGGGTATAGGGTTTAGGGTCTACTTGGAGGCTAATCCGCCAAGGCTTCTGAGACCTGGCTCATAAGTTTTATTACTATTAGTTATACTATTGTGCTATTCTTGCTATCAGTACTATTATTACACGATTATTACCATTATTATCCCTACTTGTTCATGGGTAGTTATAAGTGGAGCTATAAGTCCCCGAATATGGGTTCTAATTATTGCTACCCTGCTTATAACCCCACTATAACTACCCATGAACCTCCAAGTATGCGAACCCTGAGCCTAGCAACCCCGATGAGCCTGTGCAAGCCTTCTACACACATACGCAAAATTATAAGGCAGCCTTCACGGAACCCCATGAGGCACCCTTACAGGAACCTTCAAAGGAACGCTGTGGCAAGCCATGCATCTCTGCAACACCTTGTCTACGATTCGATGAGTAGCTCACTCGAAAAACCCAGGAGCCCTCTAAAGAAGCCCTTAACGGCATCCTTGTTTCCAACTCTTACCAAATCTTGAAAAAAGCCTGTAATACGCTAGTTGGAACTTCACGGAACTCTAGGCTTAAGCCCCAAGCCGCAAACTGTTCTAGACTTTCCGCAGAGAAGACGAATCCTAAATGCCCTAAGCCTTGCATACCCCAGGCCGTAACCTTGCCTGAAGGATCCTAAACTCTAAACCCCTAACCTCTAAACCCTAAACCCTATTCCCTAAACCCCTAAACCGCTCACCCCTCTCTGCGAGGAGAAAGCCCGTCACACTAAAAGAAAAACCCTAAACCCTTAACCCTAAACCCCAAACCCTAAGGAAGGGAGCCCGCGGGGTTCCACCCGTGCGGCATCGGAGGCCATCGCCTCCCCACAGAAGCAGCGGAAAAGGAGTGCAGTCTTTTGGATTTAATCATCGGAGATTAATCAGTTTCATTGGGCTTCTAGGATTTTTAGGAAATGTCAGGATGCTAAGGTTCTCTCGGTTTTTTTTGGGTCTAAGGGTAGTTGCAAAGTCGTGTAGGATTTCTGGAGCTTTTTCGGACTTGGCGGGTTTAGGTCTTTAGGGTTTGGGGGGTTTGCAGTTCTAAATGCTCCTTGGCTCATGCATGCATTGGTCATGGGCTTCTAAGTTATGTGTTTAGAGTTTGGGTTTGATTAATTGTCAGCCCCTGTCTGATGGGAGCAAAGCACTTCTTACGCAACATTTAAGCATCCGTCAAACTTGCAGCAATGCGCAGCCCACAATTTGCCGAACTTTTCAAACCCCGACCAAAGTCCAAAGCATAGGGAAACCGTGTAAAATGAGATGTCACCCTTTAAAAAGCTACATATGTCGCAAGTGCCCAGAAGCGCAAGGCTTGTCACCTGCCCGCCTCCCCGGCTGTGGGCACATCCCTGGCATTGCCTCTGCCAAGTGAAAGGCGTGGCTTTCGGCATTTTGGGATGTTTACGTCTTGCTTAAGTATCCAGTGTACAAAGTATGTGTGTGTATATATATATATATATGTATGTTTATACAGTTGTGTATATATTCATACTTTTTCCACATACACATATGTATGTACGTATGCATGCATGTATGTATATATACAGAGTGCATGCATACATACACGAATAACAAATGTACAAGTAGCTAAATATGCTTGTACTTATGTATACATGCCACATCGTACACAGTGTTATTGTATACCATTGTAGATGTATATATATATATATATATGTATATATATATATATATATATGTATATATATAGACATATATGTATGTGTGTGTATATATATATATATGTGTATGTATGTATGTATGTATGTATGTATATATATATACACATATCAGACATGTATACACTGTATGCACATATATGTTTATACAGAGAATACAACAAATATAAATGTCTATATATATATATATATATATGTGTGTGTATACATATTGTCATGTATGTGCCGAGCACACTCTCCCTCACTGTAAATACCATAGATACACAGAGTTTCCACGTATGTAGATATGTATCCTTCGATATGTGCATACATACGTATATACATATACAAATGTATGCATGGATGGATGGATGGATTTGCATATACATATATATATATACACATGCGATACATACGTACGCACATCTATCTAAAGATGTATCTCTCACTCTCTCTGTATATATGTCTTGACAGATATGTGTGTACATATATATATATATATAAATATATGTATATATATATTAAATTTTTCTTTATACATAGGCATATACCTTTTTGCACTACATACATACATCTATGAATATATACATGCGTGTACATATACATACATGCTATATATGCATATATATATATATATATATATAATATATATCTTTTTGGATATATATGTGTGTGTGTGTCAAATGAATATGTATATGCACATACACCATTTCTGTATCTATATTTCTCTAAACCCATGTATCGACGCTTTTACATATCCAAATACCTGTACATCGGTAATCTTTATATCTATATACCTTTATATCTTCATATCTATACAGCTGTACATCTGTATATCTATATGTCCATATAGCTACATATCTACATACTTATATACCTTTATATCTGTATACCTATATATCGATTTACCTATATATCTACATATATATATACACATACATATGTAAATTTCTGTATTTATGTATCCATATCTATATCTATATCTACCTATCGATGTATTTATATACATATGTATATGTGTATATATATATATATATATGTATCAAGTGGGATGTGCTCTGAACCCTGTTGTGCTCAAGTTCAGTTCCTATGAACACGCTTCCACGCGGGTTCCCGCTTTTTTAATGCCATTCACCTCTTCAGCAGCATGGCTCCGCTCGACAGCGCCGGCACACCAAGTGTGCCTTCGCAACAATGTGCCTGGAAGGCCGAATGGCCCACCGTCGCTGGAGGCTTCTAGAAAGGTCTACCAGTCGCCCAAGACATCCGATACATCGAGCCTTGGTCGGGGCGAGTTCCTGCAATTCCTCGGCATCTCTACCGCGGTGGCCATCTTCACAGTAGGATCTTTGCGCTCTCGTTTGCGAGCACAGGTGCCGGGAGAGCCGAACCTCTTGCTGAATTCCTTTGCCTGCGGCACCACCCCTCTGCGAAATCCGAAGTACTTGGGTGGAGGTGTGCAGGCAGAAGTGTTCTCGGCCGACACGGCTTCGAACAGACAGGCTGTTGTAAAGCTCAGTCGAGCCAACACCGACTACGCGATGCACAGCCTTGCGCACGAGCGGAGAGTCCTGCAGGTCTTGAATGATGCCAAGGTTCCAAACATCGAGCGCTGCATTGGGTTTGGCGAGGTGACGACGACTGCTGGCCCTCGTCACGGTATTGTGTTGATGCCTTGCCTTCCAGGTCGTAACATCTCGGCAAAGAACGGCTGCGGAATCCCCAAGCTACTGGAGTCCCAGGAGAAAGATCGCATGGAAAGGTTCATGACAACTGCCGTGCGCATCTTAGAAGCCGGCGTGGCCGGGGTTGATGTCCAGGTGCTTCAGTCACCATCCAGCAACGACACTAGGTATCGATTTGAGATAACCTTTACTTTCCCTTTTTTGTTTGCCATGGAGCTCCAGCCATATGTAAGTAATCTTGGGGGATGTTGAAATCGACACCTATGGTTGATGTTATAAAGCCTGCATTACCCGAAATAAGGAATACCACATAATTCCCATAGGCCAGGGTCATTAAGGTAACGCAGAGTTTGTATCATCAACAACCCTAGACCGTAAACTTCCTAAACTTCCTAAACCCTAAACCTACAGTAGAAGCCCACAAGTTGGAAATTTTATAGTCTCAATCCTTAAGAGTAATGTACAGGGAATCCCAGCACTATTTGGCCTTAATCCGGTTTCCAACTTTATGGACCCTAAACCCTAAACCCTAGGACATGCTTTGGATCGACTTCACAGAGGCGGCGTTGTTGAAGACGCAGGGTTTAGGCATCTCGGTGGAGGGCCCGCCGACCACTTGCCCGGAGTATGCGAGGCGCTACCAGAGTCCTAAGGATGCTGTGGTAGGATTTGCGACAGAAGTCTTCCTGATGGTGCCGGGAAGGTCGCACGAACACGCCGTTCAGGCTCTTGCGGGAGAGTTGCAGGAGCTCAGCGCACAGCGCCAGCGAGGTGTGGGCAGGACTTTCCAAGATGTGTGGGCAAAGCTTCCATGGAAGGTTGGTGGGCTGGAAACAAAGCGCTTGGAGACTGCCGCGAGTGGTGCAGTGAGAGTGGTAGCTGCGTGAGCTGCGGAAGAGCAACGGTATTGTGAGCCGAACGAAATTTTTTTAAGAGTGGGAAGAATAATCGAGGGGTCTGAAACATTCCTCCGGGCTCCTCTACAGTTTGTTTACATCTACATATACTGCTATATGTACTTATATACATATATATATATATATATATGCTAGCCCCCCCCCCCCCAAGACCAACCCTGAATTCCCTAAATTCCCTAATTCCCTACCCATTGGATTTAGGGAATTCCCTATTCCCCTAATTTCCCTAAATTCCTTAAATTCCCTAATTCCCTACCCCATGTGTTGGATTTAGGGAATTCCCTATTTCCCTAAATTCCCTAAATTCCCTAAATTCCTTAAATTCCCTAAATTCCCTAAATTCCCTAAATTCCCTAAATTCCCTACCCATGAACGGAAACCACTGAATCTGATCCATGGGGGTCAGAATTAGGGAATTTAGGGAATTTAGGGAATTTAGGGAATTTAAAGAATTTAGGGAATTTAAGGAATTTAGGGAATTTAGGGAATTTAGGGAAATAGGGAATTCCCTAAATCCAACACATGGGGTAGGGAATTAGGGAATTTAGGGAATTTAGGGAATTTAGGAAAACAGGGAATTCCCTAGATCCAACACATGGGGTAAGGACTTAGGGAATTTAGGGAATTTAGGGAATTAGGGAATTCCCTATAAGGGTTAGGTTTGGGAGTTTAGGGAATTAGGTAATTCCCTAAGTCCAACAGATGGGGTAGGGAATTAGGGAATTTAGGGAATTTAGGGAATTAGGGAATTTAGGGAATTTAGGGAATTCAGGGAATTCCTAAATTCCCTAATTTCCCTAAATTAGGGAAATTAGGGAATTTAGGGAATTTAGGGAATTCCCTAAATCCAACACATGGTCCTGGCTGGGAGTCAGGAAAGTTTTGCAATGGGCTAAAACCAACACATGGGGCTGGAAATTAGGGTATGTAAAGCTCGTACGAGTACTAATACTTATAGTAATACTAGTGGTGAAACTGATAGTAATGCTAGTATGAATACTGATGTTCCCAAGAATACTAGAAATCATGTACATTGTAAGAATAGTCTTGATGCGAATACTAATATACATACTATAGGGAATTTAGGGAATTTAGGGAATTTAGGGAATTTAAGGAATTTAGGGAATTTAGGGAATTTAGGGAATTTAGGGAAATAGGGAATTCCCTAAATCCAACACATGGGGTAGGGAATTAGGGAATTTAGGGAATTTAGGGAATTTAGGGAATTTAGGGAAACAGGGAATTCCCTAGATCCAACACATGGGGTAAGGACTTAGGGAATTTAGGGAATTTAGGGAATTAGGGAATTCCCTATAAGGGTTAGGTTTAAGGAATTTTTGGGAGTTTAGGGAATTAGGTAATTCCCTAAGTCCAACAGATGGGGTAGGGAATTAGGGAATTTAGGGAATTTAGGGAATTAGGGAATTTAGGGAATTTAGGGAATTCAGGGAATTCCTAAATTCCCTAATTTCCCTAAATTAGGGAAATTAGGGAATTTAGGGAATTCCCTAAATCCAACACATGGTCCTGGCTGGGAGTCAGGAAAGTTAGGCAATGGGCTAAAACCAACACATGGGGCTGGAAATTAGGGTATGTAAAGACTCTAGGGATTTAGGGAGTCTGCAGGAACTCACGCATTCTGTAAATTCGAGGCATGGAAGCAGTGATTAGAGAATTTAGGGAACTCGACCTCGCGACGTCGCCGGTTGACGGGTCTGTGCAACTGATACTTGTAATAATATTGATATTATTTTGAAAATTTTGAAAACTATAATACTCGTACGAGTACTAATACTTATAGTAATACTAGTGGTGAAACTGATAGTAATGCTAGTATGAATACTGATGTTCCCAAGAATACTAGAAATCATGTACATTGTAAGAATAGTCTTGATGCGAATACTAATATACATACTATAGCTAGTATTATCGCTAGTATGAATATTGGCTACGCATATTCGTGAAATTACTCATTTTCGGAGTACTCATAGTCATGATAATATTAGCATTAAGGCTAGTGCGAGCGTGCATAATAAAATGCTCATACATGAATGTTAGCGTTCGTATTTATATCAGCGTTGGCATGTTTTCCAGTAGTACTAGTAACTCATACGAAGAGTAACCTCAAGTTTCATATTCCGACGAATACCAACGCATGTTTTGTTCATGCTAATTTTAATTCTACTACTACTAGTATCTACTCCTAGTATTGAAAAAATTGTACCAATACCAATTTTAGAACTGATGTGAACACGAACTTTAATGTTCTTGCCAATACTAATATGCATAGTAATATTAGTTAGCATTAATGTATAGGAAAACTAATGTTCTTACGAATACTAATAATCATGTTCCCCTTTTATATTCATATAAGAATCGTCATGCCTAGATACGTACTAATGCTAGTACTCATGCTAATACGAGTATTAATACCAATACAAGCATATGTATGAATATTCCTACGGGTATTTATGCTCATGTTCTTAACAAACTTATTCTCAGTACGAATACCGACATTAATGGTCTCTTTAGAACAATTTTGATATTAGTATGAACACTAATACTTCGGCTAGTACGAACATGCATAATACTAGTAAAATTATTTGTGCTCATACAAATATAGAAAGATTATTACATACTCATATTAATATCAATGCCAATATGAATTTACAAACAGCATATTAATGTCAATATCGTTTTTGTAATGTGTACTAAAGAACACATCAGAACAAGGCACAAGAAAATGAATGCATCAGATTGTTAAAAACTCAATGTTTTCATTTACCAATATGTATGGTTATAGTATTATACTAATATACTAATAAAATAATATACTAATATACTTGGAAACTGATATGCCAATAGACCATTTTAATATACCAATATACGAGTATACTGAAAACTGTTTTTGTTAATATACATGTTTTGTTTATATACCAATATACTGAATATACACGTATGAATACTGATACACATAATGTACTAAGACTAAGTTTTTAAGGCCCAGCCCACGTCTAATATTAATACGAATACTAACACGAACACTAACACTAACACTGCTTTAGACATATATTAAACTAAAACTGGAGCACTAATACTCATATTAATATTAAGATTAACACTGACGTTGACACTGACACCAGCATCAGCACTAACAGGAACATTAATCAAACGAATAATACTATTGGACAGATACCAGCAGCAGTGTTAGAACTTCTAAAATTAGTAATGACACAAAACAAATACTAATGCTAACGCTAGCAAAATATTAAGGTTACTACTCACAATCATTAAGGTTAAAACTTAGAACAAAATTAAGTCAAGACCAATGTTAACACTGTTTTTTTAAGACTGAAACTAAGAATAAGACTTTGACAAGATGACGATAATTAATAAAGGATGAGGCACACAAACTGGGCTCTGACTTTTACCACTCCGACAAGACGCGCCCAGAGTGTAAATGGTGTCCATAAAACTGAACCCTGTTTTTTACCAGTCTGTCAGGAGGCGTCGAGAGTGCAAACTTTGTACGGGAACACAAACACCATCGGTATTTACAGTGGTTTCGGCTCTTATCCATGACGCTGTGAAGACAGTAGTGAGCAGGACAATGGTCGAGGTTGGTCCTGGGGGGGGGGTTACCATATATATATATATACATATATATATATACACACTGTACGATCATACACCCCGAAAACTATTCTTATCAGGCAGGCCCCACAGTAGGTCCAAGGCGGATGGACTTGTTAGGCGCCCTGGCCCCTGGCATGCGACTGCAAAGTACGAGAAGCCAGGAAGATGACCGGGCGCTTGTAGCTCGTCTGTTTTTGGCGAGGTGAGCGAAGCCTTTTCGTCGATAAAGGCTTTTAATTAATGGCATTTCATGGGTGCTTGTCAAAATTATGGTCCCTTTTTGGGTCGATAAATATAGTACTGCACCTAGTATTTAAGGTACCCCAAAAGGGACCATGATTTTGAGAACCACCCTCATTCCAGATTCGTTCCACTTAAACCCGAAAGTCTCTGGCAAGATCTGGTAGTTTCCGAAAATTCGGGGTACCTTATTTTGGGGTCCTTACAATAAGGATCCTACTATTTAAGGTGCTCTATTAGGGTCCCTATTTTCGGAAACTCCCATCTACCCCGTCACAAGCAATGGGAGGATGCGCACATTTTGCCTTGAACCCGAGCGCAACCTTCAGCCTCGGGCGCGGCCCGGAGCATATGGGAGTTTCCGAACTTCGGGGGCCCTAATATACGGGTGATGGTATAAATCCTGCATTACCCGTAATAAGGAATATACCATAATTCCCATAGTTTAGGGTCCTTAAGGTAATGCAAGATTTATATCATCAACAGTAGTACCCGAAATAGTAGGATCCTTATTTTCAGGACGCCAAAATACGGTGCCCGTAATTTTCGGAAACTCCCATATGAGTTATGAGAGTCGGGGCCGTTAGTCGTCGATTCGTCGATTACTGCAGCCCCTGCAGCCCGCTTGGGGTAATGTAGGAAGCTGATTAAGCAACCCTGGCCTTACAACCCCGATATGTTAGGACTCAAACAAGCACACTAATAAAAACCCAGGGTTTCTTAATCAGGTTCCCATATTACAGCCAAGTTCTTGCTTCACTGCTGGAAGCCTGGCCCACCACTGGGGTGTTTGCCAGTGTACTATAGAGGCCTTAATAAGTCCCGAAACCATTTTGGGGGGCTCCTTGTTATGATTATAGTATAATGGGTACCAAAACTACATTTTAATTATTGAGGCCCCTATTTTAACTCCGCTCCTTCCCGGCAGCGGAAGCGGTCGGAGAGTTCGTTCAAACTACAGAGGTGCCGGATTTTTTAGAACACCGCAGCGAAATCCCAGGATAAAGCCGCCTAGGACAGGGTTGAGGGCTTAAAGGGAACTCCAGAAAGTTGGAATATGGCTTCAGGGTAGGATCCCCTATAATTTGCCATAG